CGTTGCCAATAAGTATTGGCGACGGGTGACGGTCACCAATGAGCATTGGCGACGACTTTATTCCTTTGCCAATGTTAATGTGCCCGTCACAAAAAATTAACATTAGTTAATTATAATCACATTGTCAATGAGTGGCCGCCACAAAAAATTAACGGTTATTTTAATATTAGTCCCTCAAATCTTCAACATTTCAAAAATAGTCCCCCAAATTATGGAAATTGTTAACACATATAGGGATGGGAGTGAACCAAATAATTACCAAATAGTTCGATAATTATTCGAATAACTATTCAGCCATATTCGATTCTGTAGTTCATTTAACACTAAACAAATATTTTTTAATATTTGAGCTTGCTAACGATTAGAATTTGACCAGATGTATATTCGATTCGTTTGTCTATTAAATATTCGTTTAAAATTGATCACATGTTATTATTTGTATTATTGCGTATATGATGTCATATTCATTAGTTTTTGGCTTCAACTTTGATTAGTTTAGAGAAAATGATGAGAAAATGGTGAGAGACCAATGAGAAGATCATTTTTAGTTATACCTACTATGAACATGTAATCATATTGATCTTGCTTATGATATATCAGAACTTATCATACCCCTTTTCAATTAATTAGGAATTCTATGTTAATTTTTAAAATTTATTTTTTTATTATCTATGCTAGCAGATCCAATGACCTCTACTACTTTTGGCTTCATTTACGGATGAACTTGAGTCTGCAAACATCATTAATAAATTTGAGAGGAGCTAAATGAGATTTAATCACTAAAGAAACAGATGAAAATAGTTTGTGTGTGATCATATAACCATCAGGATAGGATTGGTTTGTTCAATACTGAAGAGGGGCCGCTTTCTTCACTGACTTTACGTCTGGTTCTTGAATGAAGCTACTGAGTGTGTGATCATATTAACCATCAACAGTTTGGATAAAGTTCTCTTGGAGTTTTTATAAGGTTAAGAGGAGAAAGAGCCGTCAAAATTGAGTTAGAGAAAAGATGATATCTGTTAGAGAAAAAAGTTTTTAATGGATATAGGTTTTCACGTTTTAACAGGTCAACTAGGTCCAAACGGGTTGGATTTTTATAATTAAAAGTCAAGAGAAACTGGTAATAATAGTTAGGGTCAACTAGGTCCAAACGGGTTGGATTTTTATAATTAAAAGTCAAGAGAAACTGGTAATAATAGTTAGATTTAAAGGAATATTTTTTAAGTTGGATTTTTATAATTAAAAGTCAAGAGAAACTGGTAATAATAGTTAGATTTAAAGGAATATTTTTTAAATCTAATCGGAGGCAAATGAAGACACTTTAAGGCCAGTCACCCTTAGTGATTCCGAGATGATGGACCTGGAAAAAGTTTGTTCTTATATCGGGCCACGTGAGAGTGATGCTCTATTTGATGATGTGTCTCTTCAAACGGTGGGCATATCCATGATCTTTTACTCCACTGGCTTCCAGGCAAGGGCAAGCCTCGTTCCTTTATTGGTGGAAAATCACAAGAGAAACGCAGGCACCGAGGGGTTGAGTTCCACTGCTAGGCCTTATAAGAAGCTGAGGGAGGCTCTTAGCGCTGAGGAGGTTGCTTTCTTGATACCTCAAGCAACCGAAATTGCTTCTAAATTAAGGGTGAGGATAAGGGTCAAGAGACGGCGTCCAATCGGACCGGTTGAGGGGCCTCAGCCAGCAGGGATGGGTTTGCTGGTTACTTAGCTTAACCGCTTGGAAAATGTGGGGCTAGTAGACGAATCTTCTTCTAGTAGGGAGACAACGGCCTTAGAGGTCGAGGAGGATGCTGTTGGCCCCAGTACTATATCTGAGCCGTCTCGTTGTCCTGGCAAGGAGCCGATTAGGGTGGACGACAGTATCGAAGGGAGAGCTGGATCTCTGTCAGACCAGATGGAGAATGGTGCTGGCGAGAGAATTTTTTAGGATATGCCAAGTTTTGGCATACATCAGGCCCTCCTAGCTTGTTTAGCTCGGGGGTCTTTGCTGGAGCAAGCTCTGTTCAATCGACTTGAGCATTCCCTGGAATGAAAAGCAGAGCTGGTAAAGGAGAAGTTAACCAAGGAAGAGGCAAAAAAGAGGGTCACTACCTTGAAGGCCGAGTTGGCTCATAAAGAAGGCGCTTGGCGCCAGAATCTAGATAAGAAGGAAGAGCTCCCGAAGAGCTTTCAAATTTAGTTCTCCAAATAGGTGGGAACTATCAAGGATCTTCAAAGGCAGATGGTTCATCAATTGGCGGAGGTCGAGTCCGAGAAGCATCGCAAGGCGACGGTTGAGGCAGAAGCTCGATCAAGTCACCTATCTCTCGAGAAGTCGAGGAAGGACTTCGAGAAGCTACAGTCACAGCTTCAAGCATTCGTAGCCCTTGTCAAGGAACTGGAGGACAAATTCGTTCATCTGGATTCACAACAGCATAAAAATAGGGTGGTCGACAACTAGCGTCATGGCCTCTTGGGAAGGGTCGAAGTGGCTTTGGCATGTAAGGCTAGAGTTGACTACTTCACTTCTCTAGTGCCTCACAGCTCTCATCCTTCTCCAGATAGCTTCTATCCTTCCTGAGTCTCCTGCTGTCTCAATCTGTTAAAGGATATCGAGAAGAGTGTGTTGGCCTTCTTGTTTTGATGATGATTTATAAATAATTTACTTCTAATGTTGTTTGTCTAGTGTTTGTGTTTTTGTATCAATTGTAGACAAATAACATGTTGGAGGATGGATGGAATTGCGCTTTAACGATCATATCAAATGGAGGTTGGCAGAATAATGGGTGAAGCCTATGCAATTCAAGTTGAAGATCCAAGTTCTAGCTTCATCCGCAATAATATTACTAATCCATATATATGCATACAAGTAGGTTGATATATACCTAGTGATTAACTATAATGACCGTATTAAGATTACAACCTCAATCCTATAGTGATTACTACGGCTACTCATAGGTATACTATGACTGCATAATAACAACCTAATAATATATAGCCTAATACTGCCTATATGACTACTATATAGTAACACTAGTATACTATATCATGAAGGTTGGCAGAATAGTGGGTGACAGCCTACTGCAATTCAAGTTGAAGATCCAAGTTCTAGCTTCATCCGCATATATATTCATATATACACCATACTCATAGGTATGTATACCGGGATCACACGTACTCGCCCGTACCTACTACTATAGGATAGACATATACTATATACTACTAAGTAGGTATATTCCCCTCACCTATTACATATTATACTATACCTTACTCAGCTATACTACGGCTACGCATAGAGTTTTTTTAGTTTTCAATTTTATATTTATGAAACAAATAAATACAATTGAAAATACATTTCTTGTTTCATACTTATATGCATATATATGATTTCATCAATATCAATTTTATTTAGTTTATGAAATCATATTTATTG